TTCAATTTGTTTCCCGGAATCGGGGACATACACACAACACTCCATTCTAATACGTTTACACGTTCCTCCTTGGGCAGCCAAGATTATGTCCAAGGCCTCGTGCCCAAGTGCCACAGAAATTAGTGGAAGGTACAGGTTGTGCAAGAGAACTTTGTCTGTCTCACCAGGTGACAAAAATGAGAAAAGTTCCCACCCAAAGAAAAGAAAATTCTTAAAGGAAAAAAAAAAGGCCTTTGGGCGATGAAGCCTCTCCCGCCCCCCCCCCCCCGACTCCATCCATCCATCCATTCATTCCCACCACGGCAGAATGGCAGACAACACATAAGACCAGGGTCCCTTCCCATTTCAGGCAGCAGGGCGCCCTCTAGTGGCCGCAGGGGCCACTGCAGGGGAGGCTGAGCGCCCTGGACCCGAAAGCGAAATCCAGACATTTTAAAGGTTTTTATCTTTACCCGCCAGACAGAGGACATTAGGCTAAAAAGGAGGACATGTCCTCCTTTTGCCAACCGTCTAGCAACCCTAAGGTCTGGTAGGGCCTGTCTGCATCTTAAGATCACCAGGGGACGCCTTTTTCTCAGCCCTGCCACCTTCACAGGTGTGTTTGGTGGGGACACAGGAGAAGGGCCTTTTCTGTGGCTGTTCCTTTAGCCTGTGGAACTCCCTGCCACAGGAGGCCAGGCTGGCCCCCATTATTGGCTGTCCTTCCGCTAGCAGGCGAAGAAGACCTTTCTCATCGGACAGGCTTTTCCTCAGAGACTGTCTGTCTGAGTGGAATTTTGGTTTTTAAATAGATGGTATTACCTTGCTGCTTGGAATGTAGTTCTGAGGTTGCTTTGTTTGTTGTTTTTCAGCATGACATTTGTTTGATCCTTTTTAGTATTTGTACACTCACAATTATTAGCTTTAAATATGGTCTCTTAATGAGGCAAGTCCCCTTGGGTCCTTTTTAAGGGGAAAGGTGGAGTAAGAATAAGCAAACAGATAAACAAACAATCAATGCCACAAACTACATCTGGTGGCATCGGATTTTGGAGCAGAACCTGATGGGTTCCGAATTTGTGCAGCACCTCAAGAGTACGGCCTGGTGATGGAATTTGCCTAAATATGTGCGGTGTGTGTATGTGTGTGTGTGTGTTTCTACTGAATCAAATTATTTTTAAAACATGGTTAAAATGTTGCAATATACATAGCAATGATTATTACAGTTATTACTTCTGAAACTTAATAGAGTTTTACACAGGAGGACAATTAGTGGATGAAAGATAATTAGCGGACACTGGTGGAACTAACGAAAAGTTAATTGTACTAGTTTCAATATGCAGATCGTTAGACAAGCAGTTGCTTTTGCTTCCGTGGTGGGTGCTAGCAAGAGAAGGACATCTGAACATAAGGAAGCTCCTTGTTCAGTGCATTCATAGAAAGTTTTGTGTATAATTTGGATGGTGGTTATAGATTTAATGAATGTGCTTATATTGTTGTTATGCTGATGATTAGTTCTTTGTTGCAGCCAATGACTGAAACTGTTCAGAGTTTTGAATTTCTCATTAAATTCCTCTAGCTGTGCAGTCAGAAGTCCAGGGATTCACAGAGTTCTCCAGATAGTCCACTCCTTTTTCCCATCAACTATTTATTTATTTATTTATTTATTTGATTTATTTAATTTATACCCTGCCCATCTGATAAATCTATACAGTGGACCCTTGACTTACAGACGGCTTGACTTACAGACTTTTTGAGTTACAGACTTCTCTGGCCGCAAAATTTAGGTTTGACTTGCAGACTGAGATTTGACTTACAGACCAGAAAAAAACCAAAATGGAACAAAAACGGCCTGTTACGGGATTAATCGGTTTTCAATGCACTGTAGGTCAATGGAGACTTGACCTACAGACTTTTTGACTTGAGAACCGTCTTCTAATACGGATTAAGTTCTCAAGTCAAGACCCCACTGTACCACTCTGAGCGGCTACAGTATGAATAACTCACTCTGGGACATGTATAAGAAAAAAAAGGTCTTGTTACTTACAATTGAAGAGACCAAACAGGTCGGTTTTCAATGCACTGTAGGTCAATGGAGACTTGACCTACAGACTTTTTGACTTGAGAACCGTCTTCTAATACGGATTAAGTTCTCAAGTCAAGACCCCACTGTACCACTCTGAGCGGCTACAGTATGAATAACTCACTCTGGGACATGTATAAGAAAAAAAAGGTCTTGTTACTTACAATTGAAGAGACCAAACAGGAAACTGACAAACATGACTGCTTTCAGCAACAGGCCTCCACAGACTTACAGACAAAAGAGAGGGAAAGAGACCCAGAGGAGAGAGAGGCGGGGCTCTCTTTGAATTCAAAGCAGGGAAGGAATGATTGGTTAGTGCTGGATTGATTGATAGTCAGCCCAGAAAAACCCCTCCCAGCCAAACCTCCTAAAGGCAGTATGTGAGATTGCAAAAACAACAACAACCCTCCAACAGAAACAAATAAAGAGAACTGAAAAGAACCCATTTCCCAGTCGATTTTTCACCCAGAATAATGAAATCTAAAGGTTAAAGGCACTTTGCATGGTCAGCCAAGCAGGTCGCCTCGTCTTCAGAGCTTGTGGGTGACTTGGATGGACTACACAGCCCATGGTCCTTGAGCCTGCCAGGTGGAGGTGGGGGATTATGGAGTTTGTAGTCCCAACCGAGAACTGTTCCGACCCTCTTCCCTTCTGTCTGCAGAACACCAGTTCCACCACAAGTGGGCCATCTTGTCCGATCCCGAGGACCTCACGGCGGGGCTGAAGGGCTACCTGAAGGTCGACATCGCCGTGGTGGGCAAGGGGGACAACATCAAGACGCCCCACAAAGCCAACGAGACGGACGAGGATGACATCGAGGGGTGAGGAGGAGAGGATGATGGCTCCCTCCTTCCTAAGAGGGAAGGCAGCCGCTGAGGTTACAAAACGGGAACTCCATCTGATCTTGAATCCGCTTTGCATGGAGAGCTGGCGGTAGGGTGAGGCTGGCCGTGGGGACCCCAGATGAGCTGGGTGGGGCGAAGGTCTGGCCGATTTTTCCTGGCTGACTTGGCCCTTGGGTGCCAACGAGGACCCTCTGCTTCGGTCAACCAGCGTTGTCCTCTTTGGTTTTTCAGTCTCCGAAGGGGTGCCTAAAAGAAATCCCCTCCCCCCCTTATAATCATCATCATCATCATTCCACTCCTATATCTTACAGGAACTTGCTTCTCCCCGACGGAGTGCCTGCCGAGAGGCAGTGGGCCCGTTTCTATATCAAGATTTATCGTGCGGAAGGCCTTCCACGCATGAACACCAGCATCATGGCCAACGTGAAGAAGGCTCTCATTGGGGAGAACAAAGATCTGGTGGATCCCTACGTTCAGGTCGTCTTCGCAGGCCAGAAGGTAGGTGGATTCGTGAATCCTGGAAGGTGGGCTCGGAGGCATATCTCTAAATCACCAGCGGCTGTGATTATACAGCAGCTGCTTGTTGGCTTCCTAATCCTCCGTGGCTGGAGCCCCAACATCCAGTTGGGTGGACTTGGAGGTCGCGTCCCACCCGGGCCTTTCTTGGTCTTCTGAATTCTGCTTTCGCATCATCTGCTCAGGGTAAAACCTCCGTCCAGAAGAGCAGCTATGAGCCCTTGTGGAACGAGCAGATTGTCTTCACGGAGATGTTCCCCCCGCTGTGCAAGCGCATCAAGGTCCAGATCCGTGACTCTGACAAGGTCAACGACGTGGCCATCGGGACCCACTTTATCGACTTGAGGAAGATCTCCAACGAAGGGGACAAAGGTGAGGCGAGAGGGGGCTGGGGTCGTGGCTGAGTCCCACCTCGAGTTACCTCAGAAGAGAGGGAAGGACATT